GAGACCGGGAACTGTACGCGGCGCTCCCGGTGGGATAGGGAGAGACCGGGAACTGTACGCGGCGCTCCCGGTGGGATAGGGAGAGACCAGGAACTGTACGCGGCGCTCTCGGTAGGATAGGGAGAGACCGGGAACCATGTGCCTCTGGTTGACCAGGAGCTGAGCACAATGCCCGCAGAGTGACTACTCACTGGGTATAAGCAGGTGGATGCCGTTGCCAAAGAAGACCATGTTGTCTTTGACGGTGGCACAGTAGTAGGTGCCAGTGTCTGCCTCAGAGATGCTACTGATGGTCAGGACGTAGCTGCTGGTCGCTGAGTCCCTGTAAGGTAGGTAACGGTCCGTGTAGCCTGTGCCCCGGTCGACCTGACCGCTGGCCCAGTGCACCAGCACCCATCGTGGCTTCTGCCCTTTCCGCAACTGGTACCAGAACCCGCCATAGTCCGCGATATTCAGGTTCGTCACCTGGCAAGTCAAGGTGGCAGTGCCTCCCGCTGGCACCGACGCAGACAGGGGCTGACGCAGGACCGGGTTTGAGGTGCTGCCTGGAAGAGAGGAACGTGTCAATGGAGGACTGAGCAGGAAAGAAAGGGGTGTGGTGGGGGGAGGAGGTGGTGTGGGGTGGGGGGAGAGGTCGCACTGACAGGAGGTTGCAACGAGAAATGGGGGGCCGTGCATTTGTGTAGCCTCCCGCAAGGGGCTTGGCAGTGCGCCGTCCAACGTTTCAGTTTAAGGAGACTCAGCTCCCATGCCCTCATCTCCATATCCCTACAATTCTCCACGGCCAATCCACCCTAACCTGCACATCCCTGGGAACTACGGGACAATTTCCCACGGCCAACCCACCCTAACCCGCACATCCCTGGGCACTACGGGACAATTTCCCACGGCCAATCCACCCTAACCCGCACATCCCTGGGCACTATGGGACAAAACTGAAGCGCCCGGAGGAAAGCCATGCAGACACGGGGTAGAATGCACGAAATAAATCCAAGCAGACGGTTGCCCGAGGTTACAATCAAACCTGGGAGCTTTTCTCACCCCTTTCCGGTTTCACAACGTCCTTCCTGCAGCAGGGAGACCAGAATCGAATGCACTATTCCAAAAGTGGCCCTAACCAATGTCCTGTACAGCCCCAACATGACCATCCCACCTCCTACACTCAATGCACTGACCAGTAAAGGGAAGCGTACCAGACACCTTCTTCACCGCCCTGTCTACCTGCGACTCCACTTTCAAGGAACTATGTACCTGCTCCCCCTGGGTCTCCGCGTTCAGCGACACTTCTCAGGACCTTCCCGTGAAGTCCTGCCCTGATGTGCCTTCCCCAAAATGCAGCGTCTCACGTTGGATCTAAATCCATCTGCCCCTCCTTGGCCCCATCCGATCAAGGCCGCATCGTACCCCCAGGGTAAGCTCCCTCGCTGCCCGCTACGCCCTCCAGTTTTGGTGCCGCCTGCAAACTGACTGACCCGTCCCTCCCCGGGTTGGAATCCTTTGAAGGCCGGGCTGTGAGCCATGAGGAGAAGGAGCCCGCGAACGGGACAGCAAACGCCAGCTAACCTGCGAGGAAGCAGAGGAAGACGGCCAACGGGTGGAAGACGTTCATCGCTGTAGCCTGCCAAGTGAATCTACTGTCTATCCTCCCACCCACTCCCTTGCTCCTCGCTTATATTGGGCCTGGCAGAGCGGCGGTCTTGGCGATGATTCGATGCCTTTTTGCATAATATTCAAACATGTCCACTCAGGTGGTGCCGAGAACGTAAATGGTAAACGATTGGTCCGGCAGTTCTTTGTGATAGTGACGTCAAGTAGAAGGTGTCTTCGGTGGAGGAAGTCCCAGCCGAGGAATGTAGGGGCAACGGGAGACTGTGCAATAAACCGCGTTTATTGACCACGCCCCCCCATCCCCAGTTAACCACCCCTTGAGAAGCTGGGGATGAGCTGCCCTCTTGAACCACTGCAGTCCATGTGCTGTGGGGTAAGACCCACAATGTCCCTTAGGGAGGGAATTCCAGGGATTTGGACCCGGCCGCACTGAAGGAACGGTGATATGTTTGACATTACAGTCCCCAACCGGAGACAATCTAACCATCGCCCCCTTGACGTTCAATGGCGTTACCATCACTGAATCCCCCCCCCCCCCCCCCCCCCCCCCCCCCCGACTATCAACATCCTGGGGGTTACCATTGACCAGAAACTGAGCCGGACCCAGCCCCATATAAACACAGGGGCTAAAAGAGCAGGTCAGAGGCTGGCAACCCTGCAGTGAGTAACCCCCCTCCTGACTCCCCCCCCCCCCCCCAAAGCCTGTCCCACCATTGGCAAGGCAAGAGTGTGAGGGATTACTCCCCACTTGTCCCTGGATGGGGGCAGTTCCAACAACACTCGAGAAGCTCAACACTATTGGTTTTGTTTGTTATTTATCTCAATGATTTAGATGAGAATATAGGAGGGTATGGTTAGTAAGTTTGCGGACGGTACCAAAGTTTGGTGGTATAATGGGCAGTGAAGAAGGTTATCTAAGATTACAAAGAGATCTTGATCAATTGGATCAATGGGCTGAAGACTGTCAGATGGAGTTCAATCTGGATAAACGCGAGGTGTTGCATTTTGGTAAATTACTAGTAGGGCCCTGGGCCGTGCTGTAGGACAGAGGGACCTAGGGGAGCAGGTAGATAATTGTTTGAAGTTTGTGTCACAGGTAGACAGGGCGGGTAAGGAGGTGTTTAACACACTTTCCCTTCATTGCTCAGACGCTTTGAGTATCGGAGTTGGAGAACATCATGTTGAGGTTGTACAGGGACGTTGGTGAAGCCTCTTCTGGAGAACTGTGTCCAGTTCTGGTCACCCTGTTATAGGAAGGATATTATTAAACTGGAGAGGGTTCAGGAGAGATTTACCAGGATGTTGCCGAGAATGGAGGGTTTGAGTTATCAGGAGAGGCTGGGGCTGTTTTCCCTGGAGCGTTGGAAGCTGAGGGGTGACCTTATAGAGGTTTATAAAATCATGAGAGGTATAGATAGGGTGACTAGCAGGTGTGTTTTCCCCCCCAGGGTGGGGGATTTCAAGACCAGGTGGCACATATTTAGGGTGAGAGGAGAGAGATTTAAAAAGGACACGAGGGGCAACTTTTTTGTTAACACAGAGAGTGGTTCATGTGTGGAATGAGCTTCCAGAGGAAGTGGTGGGTGCGGGTACAGTTACAACGTTTACAAGACATTTGGATAAGTACATGGATAGGAAAAGGTTTGGAGGGACATGGGCCAGGAGCTGGCAGGTGGGGCTAGGTTAGTTTGGGATTATAGGTCAGCACGGACTGGTTGGGTCGAAGGGTATGTTTCCATGCTGCGTGACCATCCAGGACACAGTAGCCCCACTTCTCTGTGTGAAATCTGAATTGTTTGGATCTCCATGTGCATTTAGTTCTGCGTACCACTCCTCAGGGAATAATAATCTTGGGAGAGGTGAGGGGCAAGGGCACGAGAGTAGATTCTAATCAACAGAAATAATCTCTGAGGGCGCGTCTTGCAGAGGAAGCTGTTGTTCCCTTGAGAATTTGGGAGAAACGCTGTGTGTTCCCCTCCCCCTGGCCCAGAGGGAGTTGAGAATGGCGACCTGTTTGGGTATCTGTGGGTTTAAGTGATCAGGGTGACCATGGTAAATTGACGTGGAGTAAGAGGGGAGCAGATTCAAGTGGAGCAGGAACTGATTAGTTGGGCAGAATCGCCTCTTTCTGTGGGGTATGTGCCATGTGAAAGGTGATTACACAACTTGGTAATAGTGGATCCCTCTCTCTCTCCTCTACTGCTGTCTATCTTTGTCTGTCCTCTCTCTTTACCTTTGCCTCGTCTCTATCTTGTCCCCCATTCTCTCTCTCTACCCGTTCATTCTCCATTCTCTCTCTCTCCATTCTCCCATCCCTCTCTCTCTCTGTTTTGTTGCTGTCTCTCTCCCCCCATCTCATTCTCTCTGGCCTCACTGTCTCTTTCTCCCCCACTTGTTTATCTGTTTCTTTTCTGTCTCTCTCTCTCTTCTGTTGCTAAATCACTCTCTCTTCCCTTAATCTCTCTTTCCTTTCTCCCTCCAACTTCTTGATCTCCCTCTCTCCTTCTCACCTCCATCTCCCTGTCCTCTCCATCTCCTCTGTGGTTAACTCTCTCTCCTTGATCTCTCTTTCTACCTCCTCTCTCCATATCTTTCTCTCTCCCATTTCTATCTGTCTCATTCTCTCCCAACTCTCTCTCTCTCTCTCCTTTATAAATGACCTGGATGAGGGCGTAGAAGGATGGGTTTGTAAATTTGTGGATGACACCAAAGTCGGTGGAGTTGTGGATAGTGCAGAAGGATGTTGCAGGTTACAGAGGGACATAGATAAGCTGCAGAACTGGGCTGAGAGGTGGCAAATGGAGTTTAATGCGGAAAAGTGTGAGGTGATTCACTTTGGAAGGAGTAACAGGAATACAGAGTACTGGGCTCATGGTAAGATTCTTGGTAGTGTGCATGTGCATAGATCACTGAAAGTTGCCACCCAGGTTGATAGCGTTGTTAAGAAGGCGTACAGTATGTTAGGTTTTATTGGTAGAGGGATTGAGTTTCGGAGCCATGAGGTGATGTTGCAGCTGTACAAAACTCTGGTGCGGCCGCACTTGGAGTATTGCGTACAGTTCTGGTCACCGCATTATAGGAAGGATGTGGAAGCATTGGAAAGGGTGCAGAGGAGATTTACCAGGATGTTGCCTGGTATGGAGGGAGGGTCTTATGAGGAAAGGCTGAGGGTCTTGAGGCTGTTTTCATTAGAGAGAAGAAGGTTAAGAGGTGACTTGATAGAGACATACAAGATGATCAGAGGATTAGATAGGGTAGACAGTGGGAGCCTTTTTCCTCGGATGGTGATGGCTAGCACGAGGGGACATAGCTTTAAATTGAGGGGTGATAGATATAGGACAGATGTCAGAGGTAGGTTCCTTACTCAGAGAGTAGTAAGGGCGTGGAATGCCCTGCCTGCAAAACTAGTAGACTCGCCAACTTTAAGGGCATTTAAATGGTCATTGGATAAACATATGGATGATAATGGGATAGTTTAGGTTAGATGGGCTTCAGACTGGTTTCACAGGTCAGCGCAACATCGAGGGCCGAAGGGCCTGTACTGCGCTGTAATGTTCTATGTTCTCTCCCCCTCTGTTTCTAAATCACTCTCCCTCTCTCTCTGTATCTTTCCCCTCTCTCTGTCTCTCCTCGACCTCTCTCTCTCTCTCTCCCTTGCTCTCTCGATGTCTCATTCTATTTTGTCAGGCCTATGGATCGGATCGCTGGGAAATCCGTGCGGAAATGTTGGGGGTGGTGACTGAAATTGAGAACATTGCAAGCACATTTGAGGTGCACTGAGCGTGGGAGCAGAGCATGGAATGGCGCTCTACTGGGGAAGGAAGTGGGATCTTGCTGTCCTGAACAAATTGGGGACATACATTAGTTTCATCCCACCTTCAACAAGTGCGGTCATTTTATTAATGACATACGTTTCTAATTAAGCTTAATCGTACGATTGCACGCCAAAGATGCGAGGCTCATGGTTAACTGCCAGTCCTCTATGGGTCTCATAATATTTCCCAGACACTCTCATCTTCCTTCTTGGGATTTCCCCACTCAAGTCCATTCCTTTCCCGACATTAACTAATTGGATACTTGCAGTCACATGGAAACAGACCCTTCGCTCCAAGCCTCACCCCACCCCCCACCATAACCCTCCGAGCCTTCCCTGTCCACGTACTTATCCAAATGTCTTTTAAACATCCTAACTGCACCCTTTGGCCCAACCCGTCCATTTTCCCAAACTAAACCGGTCCCACGCCTGCCTGCTCCCGGCCCATATCCCTGCAAACCTTTCCCATTCCTGTACCTATCCTGGTGTCTTTTAAATGTCGTGCCAACCTCAGCCGCTTCCTCTGGCAGCTCACGCCACACGCGCACCACCCTCTGTATGAAAATAAATTGCCCCTTGTGTCCTTTTCAAACCCTTCTCCTCTCATCTTAAAGATATGACCCCTAGCCTTGAAAATCCCCCACCCTACGGAAAAGACCATTCATCTTCATGATTTTATAAACCACTGTAAGGTCCCCTCCTACGCTCCAGTGACAAAAGTCCTGGCTGATCGCTTCCATTATACCGTTTACTAACCTCATTACGAGACATATTAGTCTGACTAATTGTTATAAAATTTGTCATATCAGTTCCAATAAAGTTTTTCGGTTGCACCTTGTGTTAGAACTCTTCTGTTATGGTGTTGTGACCAGTTTTCTGTTTACTAGACACCCCTATCTTTATCCTTGGGTGTCTGATAATTTCAACCACATTTCAAGCAACATCTGCCAGTTTCTGTATGTGTAATCCAACTCTCCCTGTAATGGGGGCTGCTTTTATTGCCCGAGACTGGTTTGTACACGTATTTTAATTTTAATCCTTTCCTCTAAAGCGTTTAGTCTTTTTTTTTTGGTATGTACGCAAATCTAGAATGACTTCAGAACCAAGATCTATGATTATCTGAAGGATAAAAGATTGATGAAATAATTAAAGCGAGATTCACAAATTAAATGTGGTGTGAAATCTTTTGCGTAGTGGCCTATTCTGTTACCTTGAATCTACAGATCCAGTTTTGTCCAATTTG